CGTGCTGTTGCCGGAAAGGCAAAGGTGTCCGAGCCCTCTGGTTTACCGGACCGCGCTAAAACCAGCAGCGGGAGACTGTAAAATCAGATAAGTGGTGATTTGGTTTTGTTGTTTTTGTTTTAAATAAATTAATCAAAGAGGAACAGTGTGTGGTGGTCTCACTATTGCGACTCCTGCCCACCAGTTTTTCTGTGCAACTTTCCATAGCTAGAAAATGTGAATTTCAGTTTTCAGAATATCTAACAAATCAGGGAGGAAAAAAAAGCGGGCTCAAGATGCTCAGATGATATCCAAAAGAAGATCATAATATTCAATTAATAGCTGATATTATGCTTGCTTAAAATGGCACTCAGGTCATAAAAACTAGCCATGTGAACAGGACAGCCGAACGCTAACCCTTTGTCGTTCTTCTCTAGACTGGAAATAGTTTGTGTAAGTGAACAAAAGGGTTGCTAATTTGCCTTTTCAACTTGGGAAACAGTAAAGAAATAAAGGCCTTGGATTACCTCTGATACATAACTTGAAAATCAAGCATACTCTGTCCAATACAATATCCCTGTTTTTCAGGTGCTGCTCGGGGTGTCGATGGCATAGGTCAGACTTCACCACCAAGGAGGTATCCACGGTGGCATCCCCATGGAGCTGGGTCGGCAGCGTCCACCGAAGGGAGAAGGGTTAGAGGGCTGGAGCAGTCATCTCGAGTGAAGGTTGCACAATCCGACACATCTACTGTTTGTTAAACGCCAAACACTATTCTTGGCACTGCACAGGACCCCAACTCACGACAGTCTTTGCCCCAGATATTTTTTTTTTCTGTATAAACTAAGAAGCAGGCACAGAGTGGGCAAGGCATGCAGGGAGGTAAAAGTATGTAAGAAATTACCCAAGTTTGTCTGTGTGTCTGTATCACTACTCTTTTCCATGTTTCCAGAGCTGACAGTTGTTACATTTCTCTGTGTTTCCTACCATAAACCATTTGTGCTTTAGTCACGTTCGGTTTAGGAGGTTAATCTTCTGTAACAGCATGAGCATTCTTAAAAGCTGGTAATATCACACAGTCTAAATAAACAAATAAAGTGAGTGATGAGAAATACTTTACTCACAATAAATTGATCCTATGGGAATATGCGTACTTTTTAAAAAACGAACTGGTTCCTGAGGATCCAGTCCCAGTATCTTTAATAATGTCTTTATGCTTCAGATATTTAAAAGATGTAATGGCAGAACAAAATATGCAGTAGGGAACAATCCTACACTGGCAACAAGCAGACTAGATGACCTAATTGATTTTTCCCATCTCCAACTTGTGCAATTCTGTCATTGTAATAAAATCCCAGCGTAATCAACATCCGCAGGATCAGGCCCTAAATTAGCATGTCGGTCTGGACTATCCCTCAGCCTGGGCCAGGTCCAAAGCCTGATGCTGTCAGCTTGACCCTGCATCCGTCCAAGAGAGGTTTGGATCTGGTCTTCTGGATTACAATGCAAGTGAGCTAAATTGTTGTTTCATTGTAAGTAGGGAAAAAAAAAAAAACGTATTTGTGGGAAAAACACATGGGCAAATTCTGCAGTACAAGCCTTCCAGATGTAGTTCGATTAAGAAAGTCCAACAGGAAAGCTTCAAAATGAAACTGAGAACTTTTTGGCACAGAGGAAGTTTTAGCAGTATATAGGAAGATGATCAAGCCTCGCTAAGTCATTGTTTCCCTGTATTCATCTACCAGTTGGTCATCTCTTGGACCTGCAATCAGACTGTAAAACCTTTGGGATGCAGACCAACTTTTTGTTCTGTGTTTGCAGAATCTCTGCCTAGAGCGATTGTATCTACAAGAAAGAATCTCAGCATTGCCATGGATGTATCTGTGTATTTTGGGTGTAAATACTCAAGCCAGAGCAGAAGTGATTAATATAAATGTTCTTGTAACTTATGCTAAGTTAAAAAAAAACAAAACTTTTGGTCTAGACTAACTGTAACCACCCGGGAGGCAGTACCAGAATAACAGCACTGGTTTACACTGATGCATCAGTTTGTCCAAGTATAATTCTCCTCCAGTGACAGCCCATAAGGTAGAACTATAACTGGGTAAAACTGGAGGATGTGAGTAACCAACAACAAAGGTTTCACAGGACTCTGACACATCTATTTGTCCAGGCATTGACTTCCCTATGATTTGAGTTTTTGGGAGGGCAATTCACAACACCTAAGTTAGGAGCTGTTTTCCCACTTTGGCAGGGTTTCCTGTGAGTGTCTTTGTGGTAATGTCAGACCCACACTCGCCAAAGTGATTTGCTCATTCCCACTTCCTGGGCTGCACTGGTCCAGGCGTTAGCAGTCATACACTGGATTAGGGGAATATTGGGCTGAAAAAATGAAATCCTGGGGAAAAAAAAAAATAAAAATTCTTTCCAGCAGGGTCAGTTCCCTGATCTGGTTCGCCATGAGGAAATGGGAATGAAAAACCTGACATGTAAAACCCTATGAGCTGGGAGTATCTCAAAGGGGTCAGTGAAGCGATCTCACTACTGAAGGTGAAATTACAGATGTAGGGTCCTTTGGAAAGGCAGGGACTAGAGAAGAAACCTGTTTCCTAATGCGTGTGCTCACACCCCAACGTGGGTGATGGGCATGGCATGTTGGCTGGTGTGCGTAGAAAGGAACAGGCGGCAATGAAGAAGGACGATTGTGTGCGGTGTGGACGAGGTTCATGCGCTGCAGCTCCAGCTGTCCCCACAGCCCCATCCCATTGCCATGAAGCTCTGGAGCCGTTCAACTCTGGTGACCTGAAAGTGTAAGAGGTACTACAGGGCTGGCAGTAGCTGTACTCTGATGAGGGACTGGGCAGCCACCGTCACAACAAGAGGCACAGAGCGTGCAAGCATGGGGTGCTTTGCCCTGTGGAATCTGGCTGAGCTGCACCAAATGGTCTTTTGGTGCCATGTCAATAAATACTGTGAAACAGCAGCACTGCCCCTCCGAAACAAGCCGTCAGAATTGTCACAGGAGGAAAAGCTGTGGCACTGGCCACTTTGTGGCACTTAACTAGAATTTTATTGGGTGAAGACAACTATGAGGTGATTTAAAATATTACAGGAGATGGTT